ACACATAGATTAGCAAAAATACAGATGAAATTACTAGTAACATATTGTCTGACTCTGAAACCAAGGAAGCTAGTAGAATGAGTACTTCTCCTCTGAGAAGTATAGCCACAGATTTCCAGAGGTGAAAAGGAAAGACCGTAAGGCCATAGGTTTTCTTCCTGCCACAGAACCACAAAGAGAACACAGGAAACGTAAAAAACATAAAGATGAGGCCAAACCACCTTCCGATTTATCTAGCCTCTACACTAGCCCCAGGCAAAGCAAACCTGTTAATTCATAAAAAGTGGACAGAGAACCTCTCTAGCTGCTCAAAAAAATGAAAAGCCAGAGTTTCCATCCTTACTCTTAATGCTCTGTGGAGTTTAGAAAATTGCAAGGTACGGAATTCCCTCTCCGCCTTCCCCTATTATACTGGAAGACTATTATGCTAGGAAAATTAGACTTTAGGGGGAGAAATAAAAAAAGAAAGAAGAAAAGAAAAAGGACTAGCTCAAAGTTCTCATCCTGTGAAAGTTAAAAAATGTTGGATTCTGACCAAGCCAGCCACATCACTTGAGCATGTATGGACAAAGGGTTCAGATCTGGTCCCTCATCAGAAGTGTTAACATTCTATTTAATACATAAGGGCTCTCTGTCCCCTCATGAAAAAATAATTTCAGAAAGTCCTCCCTCTTCTCAGCTTCTTGCCAAAGATTGTTTCATAGTTTGTTCTTTCTTTAAATTGTCCATGCCTCACTTTCCTTCTTGATTTTCACTCCCTATTAGAATCTCAGATCTCTTTTTAGGATTCTGTGACCTCTAAAAATCGTAAAAATCACTTCAGCAGTTTTTCCAATGATTGTCCAACCTGCCTCTCAGTCCTATGGAAACTCTTTGCTAAGATGTTGCTTTTCCCTTGTCTGGAACAAATTCCTTTGCAGATGGACCATCAAATGTCTAAGAATAACTCTTTCAACTATCAATAGAGACAAAGAGATTCAGTTGCACTTCTCCCATGGGATTCCTTTGAGTTTGGACACATCTGTTAAAATGCATACACCACAGCCTGAATGAAGTTTTTGTCTGATTGTATCTCTGAGCGCTTGTGGACGTTTCTGCCAAAACGCTCTTATCTCTTGGCACTCCCAAAACATAAGTCTATATAGTTATGGAGGCCTTCTGAAGAGCTCCTGCAATAAGTGGCCTATAAAGACCAAACCAATTTGGATAGAGCCAAGTCCTGACGACTTCCTTCCCTCTCAGCAAAATCTCTGGAAGCTTTACCTGAGCGAGTTCAGCCTTCAAGCCTAAGACCCTACCAACATTACACGTCATCTATCCACAAGCAAGGAAATGTGTGGAAAGTTGCAAGCAGCACCAGCGTCATATACCTTACCTTTGCTTCTTTGAAACCCTTCCAGAACCTGTGCCTCCATATTTGCTTTTGTAGTTTTTTGCACATACTCCTTTCTTTTGGATAAGCAGCTACATCTATTTGTGACAGCTGACTAGCTAGAGGTATAACTCATTTGGAGCTCTGTCAGCTCACTCTACAATATAATTCCAAATTAATTCAAAGTGGTGCTTATCATCTGCCAAGCCCTACATGAAACCAGCTACCTCAGGAAGCACCTCTTCCTCTAACCTGCATCTCCAGTTGCAATGTGTGAGCTAAGATTCCCCAAAACTGAAAGAGATGGAAATTGGACGCAATGCATCCTAGGCTCTGGATTTTGCTTCAAGAATTCATCTGCACCAGAAATACATCATAATGTTCAAATACAAATATCCAAGTCCTACAAGAGTCAGACGTAAGGCAGTTTCATCGCATTGGGAATAAATGGCAGCAGAAAAAGCATGCAGAATATGCTACATTACAGGATTCAGTCCTAAAAAGAGCTGTGTGTCACACATGAATTTACCCAGACTCTTTTGCTAACTACTCATTTCACTAAGACCGGCATTCAGGTTATTGCCTAGGCTTTCTTCACCTCTGCCTTTTACAGATGAGGAGCAGGTGGCTATCCTAGAGGTTTTATTTCCTATGCTTGGAAAAAGTATTTTTACCTGAATCATTCTAAAAGCACCCTGATTTTTTAAAGTAGATTGCCTTATGAATATTTCTCACAATAAATACGTGGCAGTGTTTTCTGCTAAGCACTAGTGATTGTGCATGAAAAATGGTCAGTGAAGATTTCAAACTGATTTGAGTAGGTGGCCCATAAAATCCAAGTCTTTCTTCCAGATACATGAATGAGAGTTCATGGAACCATCTGTACATCACTACATATTTCCAAGAATTTAAATACCTTATATGCTGACTTGTGCTGGGTGTTTCTGATACTCTGCATCAAACTATTCTGCTCAAAATTCTTGTATAATACTAGTTTATAAGTATCTTTAGATTATTTATCATCCTCTAGAAAGCACTTCATCAGAATGAAACACCTCCTTTTGAAAATGAAATATGATCTGCCCGCTCAGGCACATAGAGGCAGTATCAGGGTCTGGGCAGGGGAAGGGAAGCAATGTCTAGAAGGGTTTGCAGTGGGTTTGCAAAGGGTTGCGGTGTCTAGAAGGCAGAAGGACAGTCAGTGCTGCTGGTCCAAACTAAAGCACCATCAGAGAACCAAGAGGCGAGGGAAAAAGATGTGCCAATGTAGCTCTGAGAGGAGGGGAGGTGAAGGGCAAGGTAGGGATTCTCGGGTGCAAGGAAAGAACCAGTCCAAATGGCAAGGGAGACAAAAGGTAACGAGAAGGAGTTGGTAATGGCAGGAAAGCCCAATCGAAAATGCTGGGAGTCACAGACAGTAATCTCTCGAGTCAACTAATGTGTTCCAGCATTAGGGACCAAGGCAACTTAAAAAATAACACCACAACTTAATACATAGGTATAGTAAATATGCAGACATAAACTTATCATACCTCATTTTTATTTCAGGTGAAAAACTGGCATTGCTATTTTGCATGTGTGCGCCAAACACTGCTTATATGCATATCGCCCTAAACAAATACAGCCTGATAAGGGTTATAACCTGCTATACAAATAGGAGTTCTTCCATTGATTTCAAAGCATACGGGATCAACTGACAGAGGTAAACCCCACAAGAGGCTTTAATTTTTTTCTGAATTTTTGTATCACTCTAACTGTATTTTGGGAACTAACTTTCAACACTAACTGAAAAGTAAGCATTCATTAGTCCTGAAAATGTTATTAAACTTATTTTCTAAAAAAACCCAACTTCAGTGTGAAAAGAGTTTCTGATCTGGGTTTACAATTTTTCCTTCACATTGGTATTATGGGTTTAGTAGGAATGGAAATTCATTTGTGGACATTAAAATCTTTGGGTTCAAAAAGGGGGACACAAAAGGGTCCACAAAACAGGTAGAGCACAAAGAGTGGCAGGCTCCACCTCTCCACACCACCTTCTGCCAATATTCCTCACCCTTTAACTTGGCCACCTCAAAAAGCAAAAGCAGGAGTTCATTCTCTGAGTTCCCTACAATCCTGCTTGCCTGTGTCCTAAAGTCGCTTTCATGACTTTCCATTTGTCCTGTCAAAAAACATCAGTGTGAGGTTTCAAATCCTATTTGCTAATGAACTCTTTCATCTTTGTGAATGGGATAAAGAGAGTCTTTGTTTGAAAATAAGGATTATTTTTTCCTGTTGTTCTGCTTATTTTTGCATCTTTTCACAAGCTTCTTGTTTTCAGAAAACATTACAAGACAAAGCTGTATCCTGCTTTTAACAGAGTCTGACATTTCAAATTTGAAAGGAATTCTTGCATATATTAAACTGCATGGTGCCTGCTGCTCCACTGTTTCACCTCTCTTTTCTCCCCAAATCACCAGGTGAGATTTTGGAATTTTTCCCCAATGTTTGTATCAGTTCTATTAAAATCAGGATCTCTAGAAAAAGCTCATAATGAATACAGTCAGAAGCTAACAGGAATGAATTGCAGCTAAAGTGATTTTGATGGTGATGATCCCTATAACCCAGCTGCTTCCAAGCTTGGCCCTGAGGCAGGATTTTTAAATTAAAAAAAGAAAAGGATACACATAATTTTTAATCTGATTTTTTATTGTCATGTCCTGATTTTTTGATAGGCCTCTACAAAGTCTGGTTGGCTTCTGAGCTCTTGAAGCCTGGCATCATCATTTTTCTTTCTTCTTTTCCCCCTTCTAAGTTTTAAAAATCTTAAAACCACCTCAGAGCAGGTAAACTATATATTCTAAAACTAGTGAACGATAAGGCTGACATCATCCTCTGTGACCTTGCCAAAGAGACTTCCAGACAGGGAACACTATGAAACGATAACGTTTTGAAGAGCTGACAGGGAAAATTCTGACTTTCCAAAATCCATTTTTAATCATTCCCTTCCTTATTTTTGTTTTTTTGGGGGCAAAATTGAAAAAGAACCTTTTTAAAAGGCCAATTAACCTGTGCTGAGTAATCTTATAGTGAATGCAATGAAAACAAGTGCCTCAAGCTGGTATGGCCACATGGGTCTCCAGAAATCTTCTAGACCTCTTGCAGGTTAAATCTCATCCCCTCTCCCAGAGCACTCTCCTCTTTCTTGCTGGAAATCCTTTCCAACCCCGGATGTCAGGGCCAGGCACTTCCTTTCTCCCACTGCAGTAAGGCATGGATCGAAAATCCCAGTGAGTAGATACGCTTGGGTAATGAGAAGCACTGATACCTGTAGAGTGGTAACTGCAGTGCTAGTTGGAAAAAGACATGTTTGAAGGCTCTGATTTTATTTCTTAATAAGTAGGAGCTGCCAGCAACCTGACCCAACAGTACTCTCACAGGTTCCTCTGGCTGATTGCATTATCATGACCTCAACAGAAAACACTCTATTTCAGAGGTAATCCTCGCAGAAGGGAAAAGGTAAACCCTGACAAAGTCTTACTCGTGCCATTATGCAAAGAACACGCAAGTGGCTGGAAAACCTCGTCTGCTATCAGGAATATATTTTAAAGAAGCCCAGAGCAACCCAGCAGTGCGTTAGGGTACTCACAATCAGATGACCCTGTGTGTGCGTGCAGGTTTGTTGGTGAATGTGGTGAGTGGATGAGGGCCGGGCTCAGAGACGGAACAGCTTCAAGGTTCAGGCAGGGAAGGCCCGGCTTGGCGCTGCATGCACCCGTCTGAGTAATCTCATTCTCCTCAGACGCCTTCTGGTTTTCAGCTGTCTTGGGTTTCTTCCTGAAAACAAACAAAGAGACCTTTGAAGGGACTGACTGCGTATTTGGGAAAAGGCATTTTTAGAATCTGTTAAAGATAACTTTCTCTCCCCCACCTCCTCCTTTTCCCTTACAGGGAGGGAGGCAGAGAAGACTCTCCTCCATGCTTCTTGTTTGGAAACAAGCTGCTCCTTGTTTTGACTCTGATGCAACGGCCCCGAGACTGTATTACAGCAAATAGGCCAAGCACGAAGATCCTCGTTCTGCCCCTACTGATGACATATAAAATGAAACTCGTCCCAGTGGTTTAGACAGTCAGAGCTCCATTTGACAAATATTAACCAAGGCTGTAGCATTCTGAATAGAAAGAGTTATACAGAAATGGAATAGATTTGTCTGAAAAGCAAACAAATATGGAAGTCTCCAGTTCAACACGAACTACAGCAAAGACTCGTTTTGTAGAGAAAAGTACTGAAGTAACTGAGATGCAGAGGTCACTGAAGTAAAGCATTAAGATTTGAAGCCTGAAACAACTCTCTATGAGCATGATGCACACTAGCTTTCCATGTCTTTCTCTCTCCTGAACCTGAGAGCATTTCGTAAATGCAAAAAATTAAGCCGCCGAAGAGTACTAAGCAGGTGGGGATTACCGCCTCCATTTCACAGATGGGGAAATGTTGAGACACAACAGAGGGAAATGATGGGCTTTCAGTCACACAGCAAACCTCTGTACGGAAAAGGCAAGAGCCTACAGCTCCTCATTGCTTGCTTCTCCTCTGTTTTAAACTCCCCCCAAAAGCTCCATGTGTTGCTCTCGGAAGCAGGTAGTGTGCTGAGCTTCAGACACAGCCTCTCGCCTTGGCCACTGCCGCTCTGACCCCACGGGCAGCCACCGCGCTCAGCAAAACGCCTGGCAGCTCCTCTCGCGCCGGGGACCACGGCAACCCTGGTGAAAGTGCGCAGGGGCTGAGGAGGCATCAGGTAGCCCACATAAAATCCAGTTATCTCCTGCCAGCCCCCCGCCATGAGCAGTGACGGGTTATTTGAGGGGAGAGGGGTAGGGGGCCTTTCTCAAGGTGGCTCCTGGCTTGACGTGCGGTTTGGGCGACGCGTTTGGCCCGAGCGAGGCGCGTGCAGCAGCAGAGGCACCGCTGAGGGCAGGTCCCAGTCAAGCGGGGCGACCCCGCTTGCTTGACGCAAGCAAGGGTCCCCTCATCCAGCAAACTGAAGCGCGTTAATTTGTCTCTGGAAAGGTGCCGCCGCCGTGCCGTGGCCCCAAGCGGCGGAGCAGAGCCCCGTCCCGCCCGCAGCCCCTCGCTCCCCCAGATCCCACCTCCGGCCTCTTGCCCAAGCGCGGCCA